TATCTCAGGGGAGAAATGCAGTTGTTAATATCATAATAAAATTGAATAAACCAATCAGAACTTTATACTGGCTCATGTAATTCAAAGTGCTTTACTTGATTCATCACTACCATCTCATTAGCAGGGAAGTTCCCTGCCTCTTCGATGAAATGGTTGGCAAACAAATCACACCTTCACAAGTCCACTTCTCCAAAACACACTACTGTATGTGTGGGCCCTTGAAACTTTTGTGGGGTTGTCATGTGGGAACCCCCTTTCTCAGATGTTTCATCCATTTGAACCCACAGCACCCCCAGAGGCGTATGACAGCATCTCCCAGCATCCACTCTGTTCTACCCCATCTCCCCTATGCAGAAGGGAGGCTGCCCCATCACTCATTATATTTCAGCCACAGCTTCTGGATGCCGTCTCTGCCTGCTTGGTGATGTTAGACACAAGCTTCTGTTGCATGGAACTTCTGATCGCCAGGTCGGCGAGGGCTCTCCAGAGTGACTACCCTGGGAATATTCTGCAGCCTACTTCAAACAGGAAATCCAATGTCCGCTATCCTGCTTGTTGGCATTGGAGGATGAGTACTTTGTACTCCCTGAACCTTTTTTTTTTTTCCACCCCAGGCTTCCTCTGTCTTCTCCTATCTGACCTTAGAGCTGAGCTGGTAATCTCTTCCAGGAATTTTAGTTGTTTCATAATATTTACTCTCATCTCCCACTCAGTGGCTGGTGCCAAGACCTCCTCTGCTGGTTGATGCCCTTCTAGAGCCTTCTTATGATTTGACAAATCTAATGGAGCAGGGCCTTCTGGATTTGATGTTATTGGTCTTATCCTCCAGACTCCCTGCCACTTCAGCTAAGATCTGGTCATGCGCCCACCTGAACTTCCCCTCAGCAAGGCTTGACTGGCAGGTTGTCAGTATGTGTTCAAGGGTTGCTGGCCTTCCATAGAGGGTGCAATCTGGTTTCACCCCCAGTCCCTACTGATGGAGATTTGCTGGTGTGGGTACAAGATTGCAGGTGGAACACACATTAAACTTGTCCATGTCCCATACATCCTTTCAGGCTAAGGATCTTCCTAGGATCCCATTGATGTGCATCCAGCTTGCTTGCTGTCTCATAAAAACTGCCCCGATTTGTCTGATCTCCTCCTTCACCTTCTGAAGCTCTGTCTGGACTAGGCTGTGACAATTCTTGGCTGTTCTCACAATATCTACATGAGGTAATCTTGTCTCTGCTACAGCCTTGTTTGCCACTTCTGTCCTGTTTGAATGCTGATGGCACACCATTTGGTCACTGCTACTGCACAGAATTATAACTTCCTGAATAGTTTAATTGAAGAATTAACATACTAAAACATCACTTCAGTCAATTGTATGACAAATTTGATGCAAACAAATGAATGAAAAAAGTTATGATAAATGATAAAATTAGAAGAGACTGCCTTTCTAATGTCATCTTGGGACTGTAAATAATTTTAACTTTATCTGCTGTGATCACATACTGTACATTAGAGTACATACAGTCTTCTGCTAACCTGTAGAAGGTCCGGCTTTTTGTCGACTCTTCATGACAGACACTCGCTGGGGCTGTAAAAAAGAAAATCACCATCAGATAAAGATGTTTATTGAACTCATCATGACACTAACATTAAAATAGTTACGCACAGGAATCACTAGTCAGATAAAAACAAACATCCAAAACCAACACCTCAATAATAGCCCTTCGGTAAAAGTGTAGGGACCAAAAGACAATGTAAAATCAGGCAGGAGATGACTTATCACACCAACTCACCAGACAATTATAGAGTTTGGACTGTGGAGTTACAGGGCACCGACCTGTGGCACCTACTCCCTCATTCTGGAGGATACTGAGCAAAGCAGCGTGGTCAGGTTGGAAGTTCTCCCCTTTGTCTGAAACACATGAGGAATCAGTCTGCGTTACTCTGTCGACTATTGTTCACATGGACAGATTAGTGAGCAACGTAGTCAACAAAGTCACTACTGAAAAACAGAGCATGCGGGCAGGACAACGCCAACAATTCTAGCTATCAAATTAATAGTAAGGTACATGTGACATACATTTATCTCAGGGGAGAAATGCAGTTGTTAGTATCATATTAAGATTGGATAAGATCGTATCCCTTTCCAGCTACATGCAAATCAACAAGTCTTGATTGCATGTGATCTAAGATCTCTTTTTTGCAAGGCATGGCTCACATCAGCTGATGCCGATCAGATCATATTTCATGACCAATTTATGCAGAAAACCAGGAAACTGCAAACAGAAGAGTTTATCTTGCAACTGTAATATGTAAAATAAATGTATCTACATAGATTCAATATTGTTCAAAACATAAACGGAAGTGTTCTGCTCAAGAACACCACACTTACCGGTCGAACTGCTTGAAAAATTGCCCTGTGTGGTCTGCTTCAGGCTCTTGCCAGCAAGCGCTGACTTGGATGGATCTTTGAGACTGAGGAGGTTCATGTTAACCAAGCAGGTCTCTGCAGAAGGAGCACTGCTCTGATGCATCACGTTATTAGAGCTAGATAACAGAGGACTGGACAAATTGGTTGAAGTCCTAAATGTGCTGACAGACCCAGACTGTTCTAATGGATGGACTTGATTTACTGTAGCCTTTTCATGAGTCTTCAGTGTTGAGTCCCAGTTGCTATGTAACAAAGCTGGATGTTTAGAGGGTTTTGTATTTAATTTTTGGGTTTTTAGACGAGACTTGCACACACTGCCTTCATGCTGGCTGGTCCGTGACTGTGATACATTCAGAGGCTGCAGATTTTTACTGGTTGTTCTTGTGCTCTTGGGCTGAGAGAAGTTAAAAGGTACAGGCCTGGTGCATGTTTTTTTCTTCTTAGCTTTCCCCTGTAGTGAAATAAATAATGTAAGAACATAAGAATCATCAGATTAAACAAAAACAAAATGTATATCTACAGGACAGGAAGGAGGCACTTACAGCCAGAGGTTTCTCCTGCCATCTACAGTGGGACTGGCTGAAGTCATATGGAGTCTGAGGACAAAGGGTTTTTGCAAGCACCGGAAGTCTGCTTACACTGGTTCGCACAGGTGACTTTCTAGCCATTTCTGAGTTTCCTGGATCTTTATTCTCCCTATCTTGTTCAGAAAGCTGACGTACTGATAGATGTTTGGAGGGCTTTGGGTCCACTTGCATTCTGTTGTGTTCCTTCTTCACTCTGTGTAGAAAAGCTGGATATAATTTACAGCTGAAGTATAATCATGATTCTATACCGAATTTTGTGTTTAAAAAAAAAAACAAAACAACAAGGCAAAATTGTCAAATGTTAAATGCTGTCTAAACACAATCAGCTGAACTTTGCCTTAATAAAACAATCTATAGCAATCACAAGTTGTGATTAAAATTAGGAACTCTATAATCAAATTAAATAAGATCATAAATCTAACAGGACTTTCAGTGCATAACATTCTTTGATATTTGGAACATTTTGGTGGGTACCACAGAATTATTCAATACCCGACCTAAAATGCAAAAAGAAACTGAACTGAAGAAATACTGTCTAGCATCTAATACACTGGCTTACATCTTAAAATCACTGCAGATTTTGTTCTGATTTTGTTTACGAAGTACTGGTGAGGAGTCCATAACAATGGCAGGAGGAACAGGTGGGTGGTGAAGGTGTGAAGAACAGCTAGAAAAACAAAAGTGACAAAAAAATAAATGAAATTGGAGCAACCAAGCATGAAACACTATACAGGTTAACAGCAAATGAATTTCAAAGGCAAAATTCATAAAGCATGTACAAACATAAATAAAAAAAGAAGACTACAATTCCTTCCAATGCAAATAATATCTGGTCCAAAGTTAGGAAGCCACAAAAACAATCAAGGCAATACATTTCTATGGAGCCAAACGCCACCATCAATCGCATTGTTAAAGCATTGTTAAAAAAATACTGTAGGTCTCTGTAACCTCTGTGTGATGCAAAGTCGGCTCTTTAAAGTCCATCATCACATCACCAAAATGAGCCCAGAGAATAACTGCATCTGTGTGGGGATTATTCTCATAAGGTATTTTGGGAATAAGAGTTTTTAAATACATAACTTTGCACAGAGAACGTGCACGGTAAAACTCCCACCCCTGTTAAAGTGATAGGCCCAATAATGTAGCCTATAAATCTTGAACAGTAGCTAACAGTGAAGCTCCGGTTAGCCTACTAATCGTCAATAATAAGATAATCTGTGCGAAAATATACATAATACAGGCCGTATGACATCATTGCTGATAGAAAGGCAGTGTCTTCGAACTAACAGTTAAGCATAAGCATAAGCAAGCTCCAACTAATCTCGTGTATAGTTTAATACCATAGTTTAAGACCAACACAATCTTGGTCAGACAAATCACTGTTAAAAACTAACAAGGAAACAATTAATATCATCCATTTGCTTACATAATAGAACGCATGACAGAAGCCAAGTATGTGCACAGTATATAGCCTACTCAGCCAACATTAGCTACCAGGAAAAGTTGGTTTTAACCAGAGCAAAGGCTGCATTAATATTAGTCTCGTTAGAGCATGCTACATATGTAAAGCCATTTGTTTTGAGGATTTAAACATACCTTAACATGTCCTTTCACACCGCAATGGGCTGTGAACTTCCTGGACTCGCGGTACTTTGTAAAAAGCGCGGTTCCCCATTGGTCGCAATAAAAGTCCTCAGAAACCAATGACTGCACGCATTTTGCTCACGGCAAAATCGCCGTCCAATGAGCAAAGGACTTTCATAAACAGCTCCATGGTAACGACCCGAAAGTTTTTTTTAACCACGTGACCGCTTCTTGCCACAACCTCCCCCACCTGTAAGAGTTTATTAGAATTCAATTTATGTTTGCCATGCATTTTCTCTTTTAGTGTCTTGCAGATTCCAGCCACCTATTTGTTTCTAGACCTTGTCCCATTAACATAAGTCAAACACATTTTTTTTTTTTCAGAAATAGCTGAGGCAGCAGAACAGAGCTTCAGTCATCCAAACAGAAGTTTATCCCAGCTTCACTTCCAGGTACAATATGCTATATAAATATAAATGTTAATTACACCTTAATGCAACAATAATAATAATTTAATAATAAAATGAAATAATCTTAAACTGTAATAATTTCTACTTTACAGGATCTGAATATCCCCTGCTGACAGGCAGAATCAGAGCATGTAGTCAGCAATAAGATCCTCCCTCTGTGTCAGTGACGGTGGACGTCCATCAGGTGCCGCTGCCAGCAGACTGGAAAAGCCCAATGCCTGTCTGACAGCCGCAACATAGCGTGGGTATCTGCCTGACACTCAGTGGCCCTGTGTCAACAGCAGAGGGAGGAAGAAGAGACGCAGAGGAAACTAGAAACTAACCCTTCTGCAGACATGGACCTACGGTCTGAGCTGCTCAAGTCCATCAGCTGGAAGATGGGACTTTATGAAACTTTACTTGGTCTGAGTTTTTCACTCTGCTGCCTCATTTCCTACTTCATGTTCATCTTACATCACTTGGGCTCCTTCTGAGAAAAATGAGTTGAAAATATTTGAGGTGTTCAGCAAACTAAATGTCACAAATGTCTGTATTTAGTCTTTGTTTTATTTGATCATGTGCTTCAGGAAACAAGATTTACACAGTCTGACGTTACTTATTATCCTCACAGTTTCCTTTGTGAAACTCCTTTTTTTAGCTTCATGCTGACAAATAAGGAACAATTTTGTTCCCTATATTATGAATAAAATGCTTTCTCTGCTGAAAGAAGGCACAATGTGCACCTCTGTCTGGCAAGAGCATGAGAGTAACAGTTTGCTCTCAGTCTGTATATGAATGGGAGCCCTCATCTCCAAGCTGTGCTTATTCTGGGCCTCGATGTACCAGCTTGTAGTGCAAAGGGTCCTCTGGCACTGGACCTGCCAAGAGAACAGCCTGCTGAATAGAGTATGTTCACAACATGGGCCTGTGTATGTCAAAAGAACATTGTTACAGTAAGAGCAAGGACAAAGGGAAAGCATGTTGGTGATAACTTTCGCCTTGCCACAGGGCTTCAATGAAGCCACTGTATTTTTGTTGATCTCATCGTTATATCACTTGGCCTCAGCGTGGATTAGACTCTATTTCCAGCCACCTCCATGTTCCTGCGATATGCTGCCCGCCGCCCCTGGCTCACAACGAGGCGGCCCCATGACAAGGCTTATCCGCCTCACGCATACAGCCTGTGTACAGGCGCCAAGCAGTTCGTGTGTAGTGGCCTCAAAACTGACAGATGTTGTAGAGCTCTGGAAAGTAAAGACAGGATGTGGTTATTGCTCAGCTCAAGTAGACTGAGTGCCTGATAATATGCATCAGATATTTCAAGATGTTCTCACTCTCAGGAGAAGATGTTTATTACAGTAAATATAAAGGTCTTGGTTATGGAATCAAATCGCTTTGGCACACAGTATTAGTAGTATTAGTGGTACTACACTCACACTGATTCCACATAGCCTGCTCTTACTTTTAGCATAGAATATTCTCCCCTGACTTGTTAGCATGTCTTAAGGATATTTGATTTAGATGTTTTTTAAATAGTTTTTCTCTTTGATTGTTTCAATCATTGATTTTCTCTGTGTTTTGATCACAAGTCATCCATTATTTTAACTGTTTGTCCCTAAAATTAACATTTTAACATTGTTTGAGGAATAGTAACACAGAGGTTTATCCCAGCAAACAACTTCAGCTGTCTAATTATAATAGGACAGTGTATAATTTAGCTTTGGTAATAATGTGACAACCTTCATTACAGTATAGCTGATTTTATTTATGTACTTCTAGATTTTTCTAGTCACTCCTAATAAGTCTGTCCTGCACGTTGTGATTTTTTCAGGTATTGTCTCACAACCTGTGCACAGTTTTGTGCATCCCACATGACCCAGTAGCTCTGGAGGAGCATTTCAGGGATGATGATGATGGTCCAGTTTCCAGTCAGGGTTATATGCCTTATCTCAACAAATACATCCTGGATAAGGTGATAAAACACAACTATATTCTTTTTAGTGTTTCATCCAGTTGTAATGCTCTGAAGTATTGTTGTTGTTGATGTGTTTTTTTTTAATTATTACTTTTTTATCTTTCCATTTTGTTGTTGTAGGTTGTGGAAGACTCTTTTAATAAAGAAAATGTCGATGAGCTCTGTTGGACTCTTACAGCAAAGAAAAACTACCAGCCAGACAAAACCAGCAGCACTGTTTTGTTAGACAAGGATGCTTTTCGACTTTGGTGCCTTTTTAATTTTCTGTCTGAGGACAAATATCCTTTGGTTATGGTCCCTGATGAGGTAGGTCCATCTAAAATGTTTTGAGATTAAAGGAATTTCTACACTCTCTCACTGCAGTTACAGAAAACATTATCATTTGAAATACAAGGTATTGCTTGATGGACTGAAACAAACATTTTCTGTTGAAAGATTGCAACATTGCACATCTTGAAGTCAGAACTAATTGGATCATGACTGCTTTGGTCTAAATGTAGCCATAAAAATGTTTCAAGTTGTTGTGCAGTGTTGTCAAGTACAATTCTGCAGTCAGTAATCTGTGACCTAAAAATGGCTTTGGATCTTTTATAGCCACTAAATACATACCAGCTGAAACCTTGTTTCTTGCCATTATGGAACATGGTGCTCTTTTCATGCAGACATATGGGCTTGTTTCTCACTTGCAAACTCTCATTTTGGTTTCCTGTTGAGTTTTTTTCACACCAGCTGCCAAGAGAAAGGCCTATAATAAGACGACAGAGTAGTTTCTGTCATTCTGAGCTTTAGAAAACATTTTCTAATTTTATTTTAAAGCTTGATTCACAAACTGTTGGAAGTGCAAATAAATCTGTGGTGTAGTGGCTACTATAGTGATTTGATTTGATTTGATTTGATTTATTCTTTCAAGCATGTAAAGACAGTTGATATATCAACACACATAATTTTACACATATCCAACAAATGCTAATCCAATATCAATGTGCTTATACCTAGTACATGCTTGAATGGAGTAGGAAGAAGTCAGACTTATCCAGTCCTACCCCATAACATCATCTTACGATCATTGGTTTGCAAGCAGCATCTCTACATAAATAATTCTCTTCTACACCACACAAGTAATATACTAAAAAATTATAAGAGTGTTAACATTCTTACATAATTACATTCTTAAATAATTATTGTCTACACCACATAAGTAATATACTAAAGAATTATTACAAAGTGTTAACATTCATACACCACACCCACAATGTTCCATCTAATTTATCTTTGAGCCTGTTCTCGCATATATCTTGATTGACACATACCTTTATATTTATATTTAAACTCGTCAATTTTATTACTATTTTGTATGTCCGCACTTAAATTATTCCATAGTTTTACCCCACTTATGGAAATACAAAATCTTTTTTTGGTTGTACGTATAGCATGAATTTTTAAATTTAACTGACCCCTTAAATTGTATCCCCCTTCCCTTTCATTAAATAGTTTTTGAATTCCACCAGGTAATAAATTGCTCCTGGCTTTATACATAAACACTGCAGTCTTATATCCCACTAAATCAAAAAATTTTAACAATTTAGACTGTATGAAAGCTCCATTGGTGTGATCCCTATACCCCATCTTATGCACAATTCTTATCACTCTTTTTTGTAATATATACAATGGTTGAAGTGAGCTTTTGTATGTATTTCCCCAGTTTTCAACGCCATACTCTAAGTATGGTAAAATCAATGAAGAATACAAAATACGGTGCTTTCCCGTCTAAAATATATCTAACCATTGCCAATATCGATATATTTTTTGCTATTTTGTGCTGAACATATCTGATATGAAATTTCCAGGAGAATTTGTCATCAACTATGACACCTAGAAATTTAATTTCATATACTCGTTCTATATTAGCTCCCCCAAT